TGACTGTGGATGATAAGGAGGTGAGCGCAAATGCTACATGCCATGTACCGCACAGAATTCAGCAATGTGTGTGAAGGTAAACTGGAGTTCAATTGTCGGATATTGCTGTTTCCGGAAAACCGAACCTACTGAATACTTCCCTGAGAACTGTAATCGCGGCCGATGTTAATGTGTTCGACATTTGGAAGATCTCGGGCTATTTGTTGTATGCATTGATGATAAGTAAGAAGTACTGTCCTTTGATTGGCCCTGCGAAATCTAGGTGAATCCTTGACTATGGTTTCGTGGTCGTCAGCCAAAAGATGAATTCACATTTCCGTGGCGATTTTGCTGCTAGGGCACACTTTGAACAGGAAGGTACTAACTGCTCAATTTGAGCATCCACAAATGGCCAGTACACATAACTCCTCGCTAGAGTCTTCATCCTGTTAAAGCCGGGATGTCCAGTATTGAATTAATGTAGGACTTTGGATTGAAGTCCGGTTGGCATGACAGATCATTCACCAAACAAAATACGGTCTTCGACGACCGGTAGGGCATTTCTTCTCTAGAACGATTGCTATAACTGTGCGTCTGAAATTTTCCGTTGCCACTGTGAGTGGTAAAATGTGCTCACCTGTGATAGCAACGGGTCCCGCAAAATTTCGCATCGAATCTGACTGAGAGATATTGGAACCTGGCTCACAGTATCCGAGAATACACATCATCATCATTACACGTTAGCTAAAGGTGGAAAACACCTCAGCTATTGTGCCGCAATACAAAAGACAAGAAAAGGAAAACAGTGGCACGCCCACTGAGTCCCCAGTAACGGATGGACATCGTTCCGGAGAGCTAACAGCTGGCTGCCGTAAAAAGAGAATCATATTATGCCTAAGAGATGAGATCGTGATTGGGGGGGGATATTAAAAAGGAGGGTGATGGGCAAAGGAAATCACAACACAAACACCATTGGGGCCGGCTCCTAGCCATATCAGCAAGTGTGTCCAACCAAACGTGTTCATCGTCCTTAGGACCCCAGCCAGGCAGTCGTGATGCACCAACCGACGCCAACTTCGAAGTGAGGGTTTTCATTTCTCTCGACCAAGTCATCACTTGGCCTCCCCTCCTCCTCTTCCAACCGCACCCACAACGCGCAAACAATGCACGTCGCGGTAGTCGGTGTGCTGGCATGCGCAACACGTGGTCCAGCCATCGGAGCCTGGTGCGTGATATAATGGTGCTGAGCGGTTCACTCGCTCTTCCTGCACCAAATACGCGACGTCGAACACGCTCATTGCTCACGCGGTGTTCCAACCAGACATGAGCTAAGCTGCGAACGCAGCGATGATCGAATGTGACGAGTCTCTTCATGTCAGTCGACCTGATGGGCCAGGTTTCACAACCATATAAGAGAGTAGAACGGACGGCTGCGTTGTAAACTCTACCTTTCAGGGCGAGAGTAATGTCGCGTCTGCGCCACAGGTGGCGGAGATTGGCAAAAGTACCTCGAGCTTTTGCTATGCGGTTCGTAACCTCGTCTTCAATCCCACGGGTGCTAATATAGCTGCCCAGGTACTTGAATTCCTGAACGACTTCTAGCAGATCACCACCAAGCGTTAGCGCAGGGTTGGGTCCCTGCCAATCTTGGAGAAGTACTTTGCATTTCGATGGAGCAAAGCATAGCCCAAAACGATTGACAGCCAGTGCTAATCGGTCCAGTGCTCTTTGGCATGTTTGGAGGCTGTCACAGATTAGGGCAATATCGTCTGCATACTCCAAGTCAAGAAGTCGCTCACCAGGAAGTAGCTCCACACCATCTAGGTCGTGTCCAGCGAACGCTGTTTCTATGACTTCATCAATAGCGAAGTTGAAGAGGAAAGGTGACAGCGGGCATCCTTGCCTCACGCCGCTGGTGATACTGAAGGGTGGCGACAGATTGCCATAAACCCTCACCCTGCCCGAACTGTGCGCGTACAGCGCTTTGATAATGTTTACATATTTATCAGGCACACCTTTCCTCAGCAGACAGTCCCAAAGGGCTCATCGATCGACCGAATCGAAGGCACCTTTTATGTCAAGAAACACGACAACGGTGGGTCGCCAATAAACATGGCGGTGCTCCAACACTTGACGCAATGTGAAGATGTGGTCGATGCAGCCCCGACCTCGACGAAATCCGGCTTGCTCTTCCCGAATTTGGCTTTCACGAGTGCCAGTCAGTCTGTGGAGAATGACAGAAGCAAGCAATTTAGAGGCAAACGAAATCAGACTGACCCCTCTATGATTACCACATTCCAAACGAGAGCCTCCCTTGAAAATTGGGACAATGACGGAGCGGTTCCAGTCTGTCGGGACTGTCTCCTGCTCCCAAAGTCTTACTAGCAACTCGTGTAGATCATCTACTAGAGCAGGTCCACCGAATTTGAAGAGGGCTGGGGGAATTGTATCTGCTCCTGAGGACTTATGCAATTTCAACAGCCGGATCTCACGTTCGACCTCTGCGCGTGAGGGCAGATCCAAGGAGACGGCCCAAGGAGAAGGGCGCTCAATGCCCGAAGAAGAAAGTGATAACGCAGGTTTGTTAAATTGCCTTGCAAAGTGTTCGGCCCAACGCTCCAAGCGTTTTGACAAGTTGTGGATCGGCTGCCCACTCTCCTCGCGTATGGTCTCGCTAACACCAGGTCTCCTGCTGCCTGTTTCCCGTATCAGACGGAATAACTTACGATGATCATTGCGAGTACACGATTAACTTCCGTTTCGATTGAGACATTTGCAACGACACTGTCTTCTGATTGTTGCTGTTCGTCCAAAAATCGCGACAGCGCATCCGCCTGACAAATATCGCTCGTCCATCGGTACTTGATGTTGAACTCATACCACAGCAACGTTGTTGCCCACCTCTGCAGGCGATTGGCTGTATATACCGGAATGTCTTTCTTCGAGTCAATTATAGCAAGAAACGGTTTGTGATCCGTTGGAAAGCTAAACTGACGGTCATATGACATTTTGTGGAAATGTTTCACTGCAAATGCAATAGCGAGAGTCTTTTTTCAGTTTGGCTGTACTTTCTTTCTGCTGCACTCAGTGAATGAGCGGCATGAGCGACTGACTTCTCATACCCGTCTGTGAAACTGTGGGAGATGACCGCTCCTTAGCCTTCCTTAGTCTAGACCCACGAAACGTCCTTCATCAGCAACCGGTTTAATGGTCCGCATAGGTCGTGCAGAGACGGCAGGTACGTACTCACACTTGTCCCTTTTTAGGCAAAAACCATACTCCTTTATCCTGTCAGGCACGAGTTCTGTTCATTGGTATAGTTCTTCATCCTTAGACCCCATGATGATGACATCGTCCAGGTATGCAGCGGTATATGTTATTTCCTGTAGCATCGTATCCATGATCTGCTGAAAGATTGCCGGGGCCGACTTAACGTCAAACGGTAGGCGTGTATACTGAAATAGTCCTCTGTGCGTGTTAATCGCTAGCAACTCACGCGATTCCCCCTACATTTCAACCTGGAGTTATTCGTCTGACAAGTCCAGTTTGGAAAAATACTTGCCACCGTTCAGACTTGCAAAAAGGTCTTCAAGGAAGGGTAGAGGGTACTTGTGGTCTTCCAAGGCAGCATTCAGGCCAGTAGAGTAACCTGCACATAAGCGGATCTTTCCGCTTGGTTTCTTGACAATCACAATGTGGGCTGCCCGTGAAGAGTAATTGCTCGGTTTGATAACTCCGGTTGACTGTAGTCTGTCAAGTTCTTGGTCGACGATTGAAATCACTGCATATGAAACCGGTCTGTTCTATCGGAAGACTGGCTTTGCGTATGGCCATATAGATATACTGGCCTTGGTTTTCGTGCACCATCCCAGACCATCCCGAAACACCTGCGGATATTTCCTCTGTAAAGACTCTCATTTTGCAGATGCATCGCTTACTTTGTTGCACACGGAATTCAAGGGGACATCAAGCAGTTTCATATTGTCAATCCACTCGGGGCCAAGTTCAGATCAGTATGTCTTTTTACGTAGCATACCCCTTTGCACTGACAATCTTTAAACATTACATGGCAGTAAATTTCACCGGCCAAGTCCAGCGGTCATCCTGAAGCATTGGTTGCAATCTGAGTTGTTCTTTGAACAGGTGGCTCACCGATTTTCTTCCAAGTTTCCTCGGATATGACAGTGATGTCTGAAGCAGTCTCAACTTGGAGGTCTACGAGCACCTGGTTCACAACCACTGTTACCTACCTTCTGCGTTTTGCGGCTCGTGTATCGAAGGTAGCAAAGATAAGATAAAGTTGAACTCTTTGTTTTGTCGAAGATGTGGGTACAAAGTTTTGGGAAGGTTTGTTGTAGACGTTCTTGTTGCAAATGGTTGCATGGCATTGACCCTCCTTGTGACCCCGTTTGTTACATTTCTGACAAAGATGCTTCTTGAACGCGCAGAATTTGACGAATTGCCATTCGCCACATTGCCAGGATGCGGATGGTGGTCTGTTTGAGTTCACTGAGTTTTGGACCGTCGCTTGATGCCTGCGCTGGTTTGCTACCGCCAACGCATTCACAGGACATGGACTGTGACCTTCGGCAATCACGTTCGTGTCATGCTTCAACTTGATTAACCTCTGGCACTACTACTACTACTGCTACTACCTTTCCACCATTTAATTCAAACACTGCGTCCGGTTTTACGGAGCTTGCATTTATATTTTTGTTATTACGCAGTTCATTTTAATAAGCACTTTACTCCTACCTGCGTGTGTACTTGTCGAAACATTCTCTCGATGACTGTATTGCTTTATACCTTTCATTTATTTTTTCTACCGGTCAGCTGTTTATACACTCTTTATAGGTTCAAGTATCCAGTTCGTTTTAGCGCTTATCATCGTCTTCGGCCACTAATCATTGGTTTCGCTTCGTTCGCATTCCATTTGCTCTTAGTTCCTGTTTTACCGTTTTTGCATCTATCCTTTACATCAACTTGGACGTTTTCGATTTTTTTCCCTTATGCACTTCTAGCTCAAACTCTAATGCCCTGTGCGGTGCCTCCGCTCCACTACGCGTCGAACGTTACTACCAACCATGTCTCGGAAACAAGTCGTCTATCTGGACTTCGGCTCATTCGTTTGGTGCTGATGATGAAGAATTGGCAATTAACAAACAAACCTTTGCTCGGCGGGAGAAATCCCGCATTGCTGCCAAACTTCGTCGTCTTAAAGAAAACCAAACCTTAATGAGACTTCGGCTAATCCTTCCTATCCAGTCATACAAAAGCGATGAATCGGTGACACACAAGCTGGACAATTGCATCCAGTATTCGGATTCAGACGGTGCCACCACCCCTTACGATTCGGTTGTTCGGTGCGACTCACCTTCACTCTGCACACTACCGGTTTTGAAGCAACCGCTCCTGGCACCAGAATTTGAGAAGGCAGTGACGATCCGTTTGGCCAGCTGCGCATTGTGTTTGTACAATTGGCTATACTCTCAAGAGCTCTTGGGTAAGCTCTGTTCCATCGAACTTTCGATGAATATCTGGCCACCTTCCCACTTTACAAATATATCAGATAACGTTCATGTGGATCGGTTTAACTTCAAATTTTGAGCATTTTTATGGTACTTGTAGGTGAATATTTTTCAAAACCTATCTTTTAGCTGCCCCATTGGTTTACTCCTTAACGCTTTTACTCAATTGAGCTTATTCAGCAGCGATGGAACTTGTTTCTGCGTCTCAGTCGTACGACCATAATGGTCACCTTAATGTGAGGTAATCATAGGTTGAAACCGAAATGAAATCGCTATACTATTGGCAGACATTCCGGATGAAGGCGCCTAAGCCTTGCTGACAGTAAGCGATCACCCAGAGCTACTTACGTTGCTAGGATAAGGTGACATCAGTGCGCTAGCTTTTTCCCTATTTTCTTTATTTCACCTTATAATCAACCTTACCTCACAGATAACTTAGCGTCCCTTAATCTGGAGAAATATCATCCGGATAGGAGTATACACCAACTGCACCAATGATACCAGCTGCAGATCGCTGACCGAAAGGGTTGCACGCTTGCTTTCTACTCCTGACATCGCCGCCGCGTAGCTGCGTGCGACCTCCCGCGATCACCGCAATGATGTTCCCCGTGTGTGCTGACTCTGGTGGGCATCGATGTTGACCGGATCTACTGATTAGTGATTATGTATTGTGTGTTTTTGTTTGACACACCCCCCACCACCCCCCGCCACAGCCAAGGACCAAGACTACAGGGAAAGACTAGAATCAAAAAGGATAAACCGCACTCACGGAAAAAACAACCGCGAACGGGGCGGAGTGGCGATAGGATTGCGGCGGACAGTGCGAGTTTGGTGGAGGGGTTGGGCTGGTGGGGCGTATGTGAGTATGGTGGAACGTGAGGAGCAGAGTTGGGGATGGGTTTTTATGACACCGTGTGGGAGATTGGCGGCTGGAGGCGGGTACTGGCGGGTCGCTGGGTTGGGGGCTGTGATTGTACTGCCATTGAGTGACTCGTAGTGGGTGGCCCTTGGGAGGGGGCTGGAGGGGGGAGGTGGGGGTTTTGGAGTAACGGCCGGTGCCTCAATTGTGTGTAGCCCGGGTCGGTGTGGGTTTATTTGGTGGGGGGGGCTAGGTGGCGGCGATGGCGACTTTGGTGGTGTGGCGGCCGGTGTTGGGGTGTCGGTTCTCTCCTCTGGACTGTGAGGTTGGCGACTCCCCTGTCTTACATGGGGGGGATGTGCTATTTCGTGGGGGTGCCGCTTGGGGGCGGGACCCCCCCCCCTATTGTGTTGCTCAGTTCGGCTAGGCGCCCGGCGCAGGCGTTGTTTCCCCTAGTGCCCTACCGAGGTTGTGTTTCTCACAGTAATCATCAGAAGGTGAGAGATGTGTGAGTGCCGTACTATGTGGTTTACGTCGAAGATCTCGGTTCAGTATTGGATCCTGGGATGGTTTTTGCAGTTTTTAAGAGTATTTTGTCTTTTTAGTTCTTTTTTCAGTTGTAGTGATGTTGTCGTGAAGTGTTTGTTGAAGTTGTTGGGTTGGGCGGTGGGTGGGTCGGGGTGGGGTCGTGGGTTATGGGGGTAGGGGTACGGCGCCGGATACCAGCGCGAAGTTTGGGTGGGGATTGGGGGGTGGGGGCGGGCGGCAAGGGTGGCGGGGTGCGGGGCGAGTGGGGCTGGGCCTGGGGCGGGGGTTTGTTTGAAAGTGAGAGCGGAGGTGTGGAAGTCAGGGAGTGGGGGGGAATGGGGTAGAGGAGGGGTTCGGTGAGCGTGGCCGGGGGGGGGAGTGGAATTTGGGAGAGTGGGCGGCGAGAGTGGGGGCGGGGGAGTCGGGGGGCGGTGGCGTGGGGGGGGGGGGAGGGCGCAGTTTGGAGGGAGGGGGGGGATGGTGTGGTCCGTCTAATGGAGGGAAGTGTTGTGAGGGATGGGGAATGGTTTGGGACTTAAAGAAATAAAGAACTGGTCATGGGGGAAATTGGGCGGGCTGAGGGGGGGGGTAGAGAGGAGGTGGGGGGTGTGGCGGGGCTGGATGGGAGTGGAGGAACGGGGGGGGAGTGAGGTGAGTAGGGGAAGCTGGGGGGGTGAGTTGCGGGTGGGGGGGGCGGGGGGGGGGGGGGGGTGGTGGCGGGGGGGTGGGGGGTTGGAGGGGGGCGGGGTGGGGTGGGGGGTGGGCGGGGGGGAAGAGGGGGGGGGGGGGGGTGGTGTCGGGGTGGGGGGAGGGGTGGGGGGTGGGGTGGGGCGGGGGGGGGAGGGGTGTGGTGGGGGGGCGGGGTTAGTGGGGGGGGGTGGTGGGGGTGGGGGTGGGGGGGGATGCAGGGGGGGCGGGGGGGGGTCGGCGGGGGGGGGGGGGAGGGGGTGGGGGTGTGGAGTGGGTGTGGGGGTGGGGGGGGGGTGGGTGGGGGGGGGGGTGTGGGGGGGTGGGGTGGTGGGGGGAGGGGGGGAGGGGGGGGGGTAGGGTGGGGGTGGGTGGCGGGGGGGGGCGGTGGGTGTCGGTGGGTGTGGTGTTTAGGTTTGGGGGGGGGGGGGGGGGGGGGGGGTGGGGGGGGGGGGTGGGGGGGGGGGGGTGGGGGGGGGGGGGGGGGGGGGGGTGGGGGGGGGGGGGGGGGGGGGGGGGGGGGGGGGGGGGGGGGGGGGGGGGGGGGTGGGGGGGGGGGGGGGGGGGGGGGGGGGGGGGGGGGGGGGGGGGGGGGGGGGGGGGGGGGGGGGGGGGGGGGGGGGGGTGGGGGGGGGGGGGGGGGGGGGGGGGGGGGGGTGGGGGGGGGGGGGGGGGGGTGGGGGTGGGGGGGGGGGGGGGGGGGGGGGGGGGGGGGGGGGGGGGGTGGGGGGGGTGGGGGGGGGGGGGGGGGGGGGGGGGGGGGGGGGGGGGGTGGGGGGGGGGGGGGGGGGGGGGGGGGGGGGGGTGGGGGGGGGGGGGGGGTGGGGGTGGGGGTGGGGGGGGTTGGGGGGGGGGGGGGGGGGGGGGGGGGGGGGGGGGGGGGGGGGGGGGGGGGGGGGGGGGGTGGGGGGGGGGGGGGGGTGGGGGGGGGGGTGGGGGGGGTTGTGGTGTGGGGTGGGGGTGGGTGGGGGGGGGGGGGGGGGGGTGTGGGGGGGGGTGTGGGGGTGGGGTGGGGGGGGGGGGGGGGTTGGGGGTGGGGGGGGGGGGGGGGGGGGGGGGGTGGGGGGGGGGGGGGTGGGGGGTGGGGGGGTGGGGGGGGGGGGGGGGGGGGGGGGGTGGGGGGGGGGGGGGGGGGGGGGGGGGGGGGGGGGGGGGGTTTTGTATAGGAAATAAGGGGAAGAGGGAACGGGGATAAAAGGGGGAAGGAAATAAAAAACAATGAAAAAAGGTGGGTGGGGGAGGGGGCAGGGTGTTTATTAAATATGGGGAATAATATATAAATATATGTATATTAGGATATTTTTTTTGTTAGGGGGGGGGGGGGGGGGGCGAGGGGTTTAGTGGGGTTTTTTGGTTTTTTTTTTTTTTTTTTTTGCTTCGGGGCATACAGTTAGGGGGGTAGAAGAATATATTATTTTTTTTAATTTTTTTTTATCTTTTTTTTTAAATTTTTATATTAATTATTTTAATTATATTTTAATATTTATAATTTAAATATTTTATAATTTTTATATAAATAGTGAAAGAAAAATTTATTTATATTTAATTAAATATTTATATATTTATATTATTATATATTATAAATAATAATTTTATGTGTTTTGAAAAATGATAATAACTTAAATTTTATTATAGTTTTTAAATATATTTTTTATATTGTATGATTTGTGTGTATATTTTGTTTATTATTTTATTTATATTTTTCTAGAAATGTGTTTGTTATTATTTATATTATATTATTTTTGAAGGCCAAATTTTTTTATTGTTTATTGTGTTTTTTTTTTGTTTTTTTGATTCCTGTTTTAAAAAAAAAATAAATAAGTAGAAAGAGAAGAATAAAACAAATTTTTTATAAAAAAAAAAAATTAAAAAAAATGGATGGAATAAATACAATAAAAGAAGGATGGGGAAAGCGGGCATCAAATAATTCAACACGTAACGTGCCCGGAATCGCGTTTAAAAGAGTAGTTGTTTAATTGGGGGTGCCGGTGGGCTCTCTTTTCTACTGACCCTGCCCTGCCGTCATTTAAAATATATCAGCCATTAACCCCGTTCGCCACCAACCGTCCCCGCCGTAAACGCCCCCTTTAAACGGGACCGAACTTTTTTTTTTTTAATTAGCGTCTTTTTTTTTTTTTAACCTTAACGACGAAAATAAGGGACGACGGCGACGCATATTAACGACGAAACCGGAATCTTCGCGACGAAATTAAATATTAGTTTTGTGATACCCATACACCAACATTTTGTTTTTTTTAAACAGAACAGTTCGGACTAGGACCACCCCATGGCCAGCAGGGCACCCACACACCCCCCCGCCCAACCCCCCGACCGTTTGGTGTTTTGGGTTGAGTCTCCTTCGGGACCTGGGTCGTTAGCCCCCCGGTCCTTGTAAAGGTTTGGTTTTTTTTGTTTTTTTTTTGAGCCAAATTTTTTCACATATTTTTCACAATGGTGTGTGGCGGGAGCGAGGGTGGAAGGAGCGCGGAGCCCACGGTTCATTTGCGTTGTTGTAGGACTTCCCACCTTAAGTCTTCCTAAGAAAGGGTTGGTGGATGATGTGTTGAGTTTTTGAGACGGAGATTTGGGACGCCCGACGGACCCCTTTTAACGCGACCCACTCGCGTTTGGGCGTGCCGGGTCCCGTCAAAGTTCAGTGTGACTCTTTTATCCCACTGACACAAACCGCCACAAAGTGACTATTGTGTTCGCACAAAGACGGTTTGTGTACATTATAGGAGTTGTCAGAGCGGAGTACTGAGGCACAGGCCAACGACCTTCTACTTAATTTTGGGGGAGCGGGAAGGAGAAGGAGTAAGACCACAAAACACAATGACAGCTAACGTCCGCGGTGTGGGTTTTGGTTTTGGGTAAAGTTCAATTCGTCCGGGACGCACTATGCATTACGAAAAAACGCAAAAAGACAAAAGACTTGCAGAACTTAATTTTCACGGCACAAGCGGGCACCACAATCTGTTGCAATGCTATTCTAGCTCTCGGCTACAGGCTGGGATAACTGTCTATCTGTGCATGAACTTGGTGGTCGATCAGCAAGCTCGCTGGCAATCCTCTGGCTACGCACGCTAATTGGATTACTCGCTACTTTGTCGTAGTGTATTCGTAAGTTTTTTTGCTTTTTTGCAGAAGGAGCTTCGCAGACGTTTTTGTTGTGTTTTTGGTTTTTTCTGCAGGGAGTGCAGGTTTTTTTTTTTTTTTTTGTGTTTTTGCAATTGTTGAAGGAGGAGGGTTTTTGTGCTATTTGCGTTAGCTGCAATCAGAATAGTTGGGTTGTTTTTTGAACATACACGACAACCCGCCCCAGAACAGACACAAAAAGCAATGCAAGTACGCATATGTTTTCTTGCCCATGACAAAAATTGTTGGTCTAAAGCAATGCAAGGTGTTTGCGCAGCGGGCAAGGAGGGAAAGCCCCGCAGAAGCGCGAGAGGCCACTGAGGTTTGTGTAAGGCGGGTTATGCTGGTGGACCCCCAACCACCCCCCCACCAGGCAAGCTCATCTGGCCGGCTCTACTAAATGATGGGGGAAGAGGATAGAAGTTTAGAGGAGCACGTGAAGGGGGCATAAGGGGTAGGTGGTGAGAACGTGTTGGTGTTGTGGTGTGGTGGTGGTGTTGTGTGGGATGGTGGAGGGTGCGCTGGGGAGAAGAAGAAGGGGCGGACAGTGCGGGAAAGTTAGGTGGCGTGTGAAAGAAAGAAAGATTAGTAGTGGAGTTGGTGTGTTCGAAGAACGATGGAAGTTATGGTGTTTGTTCAGATTAGAGGCAGGAAGAACCCCAGGGATTAGTGTGATAAAGATCACCGCAAGAAGCATGCTAGAAGGGATTAGAAGAAGAGTTTTTAGCAGCAAAAGCAATGTTTGTGCCCGCAAGACCCCGCAATGAATAGAAGCAGAGCGAGAAAGAGATCACGTTCGATGAGGGACAGCGGAGGAGACACGCCAGTTACATGCAGAAGTGGATAAGGGGGGATAGATAGCAGATCAGGGGAGCGCAGAAGGCGTATAGATACCTTGATGAGGCTTGCACAAAGCTCATCACACGGCAGACCGGATAGATACAGAGAGGCAGGGATTAGGATAGGGATATACCAGGCAGATTAGGATACTCAGCGCAGCCAGACAGGAGATGGAGGCACATGGGAGAAGAGAAGGGGGAATTGATACTGTGCAGGTAAGGAGAGTAGAAGGGAGGATGCTCGAGGGGAGAGAGGATGCACGAAGACAGGTCCAATTTCCAGAAGTGGCATAAGGTTAGGGATGTGCAGGGGAGGGGGAAACCGCCAGATCTGCAATTGCCGCAGATAGATGTAGGCTAGCAAAATGCAAGCAATGCTAGTTGCAGCAGGAAGGGGGGGGATGACGCCAACGATAGCTGGGGAAGATAGCAACAATAAGAGTAGGGAAAAGATACGAATTCCAGAAAGGGAATAGGGAAGAGGGATAAGGAAGAGGGAGGATCCAGCAAGAAGAGAAGAAGGAGGAGATTTTTTTTGTTGACAATATTGTGTTGGACGCAGAACCAGAAGAGGAAGATTCCTGATCACTGATTTTGCAATGGTTGTGAGATGATCAAGACTGTGATAAGCACCGGGCATGACTGGTTAACGACGGGACCCTGTAGTTGTCCACTAGCATAAAGAGAAGCACAAGCACTGTAAACGAACTTTCTGCACGTGCCAAGCAAGCAACACAGCAGCTCAGCATGAGAGACACTACTACACAACAGCAGCCAAGCACACAACAACAATGAAGTGCCAAGCCAAGCCAATGTTTGCCCCCCGCTAAGGATAGACATGACAGCACACCAAAGCCAAAGGCAATGATTGCCCCACGCAGGGGAAGCAAGGAGTTCTGATGGATCAAGTGCTTACTGAAGTCAAGGATTTAAGGAGATAGGATAGGTCCGCTGCCATAAAGGGAAGGGACGCAGTAGGATACTTTGATTGCACTGGAATTACGCATAAAAAAAGTAAAAAAGACCTGGGGGAAGAGGCACCACCTTAGGAGGTCAGCACAATCACGAGATCGAAGGAGGGGCCAGGCACGCGGCTAGGGCTCCTAGGGCTTCTTAGGCTAGGGGGGGGCTTTATGGTCTCTCACTTCTGGGTTAAAAAGGTAGGGCCGAGCCGTCAGAGTCGCGAGATCCCTCACTGTTTGGAGCAAGTATGTACTTGTATATGTAAAACACGGGAAAATGAGCTAAGAAGTTATAAGAATTTCACAGTACACAGCGCGTGGAAGTAACCATTCAGGACAGTCGGAGGGAAGAAATAAGGAGGAAGGAGAGGGAAAAGAGAGAAACTCCCACTAACATTTTAGGGGAAGGAATTTTAGGTGAGAGAAAAAACTCCCTTCTGTCGCCCAAAGATTGTCGCAGATTTCAGATTCAGAAGGGAGGTGGGGAGGGATTGAGCGGTTAGGTTTAGGGTGAATATAGTTTAATAGTAGTGGAAGAGATTGTTAGTATTTGGTGAGGGTGTGATGTGGGTGGAGAAGTGAGAATGTTAGTGGGATGGAATGGGATGTTATGTTAGTGTATATTGGGATTGTGGGAGTATGGAACAAAGTAGTAGACGTGAGAGGAGGAAAGTGAAAGAGAGTTAGGATGGTCTAGGCTGGTTTTTGTATATGGATATTACGTGTGAAGTCGTCGGGGTTTGAATAGTGGATATGTCCACAGCCAGCGGGTTTATTATTTTTTAATTGATTATTTTGGGTTAGTAGCACATCAGTTCGTTTTGCTGGGCTCGATGGTATTTGATGATGATTAGAGTTGATTGCGTGACAAGGGAAGAAAGAAAGGGGCAAGTAATGGTGCACGTGTAGATATTAATCTACTACACTCAGCAGCTTCCATCGCACAATGGGGGTCAGTCATGGGGAATTGTCAAGGAAGGGCGGTGGTCTGTTTATTGGTTTGGTAAAGACTATGGTGGGTTCCGTTCTTTCCATAAAGGGAAGTGGTGGGGGTTCCCGCAACAACACCTATTCTTGACTTTCGAAGGTTTTTCTCGTTATTGGGTTGCGCGAAAGCCAAAGGGGAAAATATGGTTGGATGGCCTTGTGAGGAAAATGCACGTAAGCAAGCAAAGCAAAGCGCGCCATCCACCATTACCCACATCTACCGTTTTAGAGTGACTTATTCTG